TTGTCTTTTCCAGTGACTTCTGTCTTCTCGTAAAGTGACCAAAGTACGACAGCCTCAGTTTAGTCGTTTTAGCTTCTAGGGGGGAGTTCAGGCTTGGTTTGATCCAGAACCCACTTCTTTGTAGTTCTGACAGTCCACAACAGCTTACAATACAATAAAGCTGAGATCCTGCTAGGCTCCTTTCTGTTTTTGCTCCTGTTTGTGAACAAAGCTCAAGAGGTTCTTACTAACCAGTGCGTGGTTAGGAGAGGCATGCGGCGTATCCTTGGGCCCACCAAAGGCAGCCATGCAGACTGTCTCCTAAACCAGACTGTTCAACTAAATAATATCCTCTCCATCTATTACGTGAGAAGGTGTTTCTCAATATGATTGGGGCTACTGGGTGTCTCCCACCTCCACTCTAGACCCAGCTGTTACTACCTAAGAAGAGAACTCTGCGAATGCTCGCCAGCAAACTGTCCAACAGCAGAGTTCCATCAAAAGGAGGAAGAGCTAAAGAATTTTTCTCTATATAGACTTAGGGCAGATGCATCTTGTTAGCTTGGGGGCCAGAGACAAAGTGGGGCTCTTGCTCATATGACCTCCTGATACAAACCCTCGCCAGGATTAGCGTCCATTATGGGATGAGTTTCTAAATGTAGCTTCGGGAGCATTATCTTTTGACCTCTAACAATCCCTCAAGTTCTACCGCATGTATAAAATGTAGGTCAGCAGCTCTGTAAAACAAAGCGAGAGCAGGGAGGGGAGGCCTGCAGAGCAGCCGTCCAACTTCTGGCTCCCCCCCCCCCCCCCCCGGGACCTCTCCAGATATCCACTTCGTCTATTCCCTGCCAAAGGGGAAGACTCTGCATTAGCACTAACCACTGGGTTCAAGACTTTGAATAGCTCAGCTGGAATACCATCACCTCCACTAGCTTTGTTGTTAGTAATGCTTTCTAAGGCCCATTTAACTTCACATTCCAGGATGTCTGGCTTGAGGTCAGTGATTATAGCGCAAAAGTGGGCTTGAAGCTCAACATCAAAAAAACTAAGATCATGGCATCCGGCCCCATCACTCCTTGGCAAATAGAAGGGGAAGTCGTGGAAGTAGTGACAGACTTCACGTTCCTGGGATCCCAGATCACCGCAGACTGTGACAGCAGCCATGAAATTAAAAGACGCCTGCTCCTTGGGAGGAAAGTGATGGCGAACCTAAACAGCATGATAAAAAGTAGAGACATCACTCTGCCAACAAAAGTCCGCACGGTCAAAGCAATGGTATTCCCAGTAGTCATGTGTGGCTGCGAGAGTTGGACTACAAGGAAGGCCGAGCGCCGAAGAATAGATTCTTTTGAACTATGGTGCTGGAGAAGACTCTTGAGAGTCCCTTGGATTGCAAGAAGATCAAATCAGTCAATCCTAAAAGAAATCAACCCTGACTGTTCCCTGGAAGGCCAGATAACGAAACTGAAGCTCAAATACTTTGGCCACCCAATGAGAAGGGAGCACTCACTGGAGAAGACCCTGATGCTGGGAAAGATTGAAGGTCAAAGAAGATGGGGACGGCAAAGGATGAGATGGTTAGACAGTGTCATAGATGCAACAAACATGAAGTTGAGCCAACTTCAGAGGACGGCGGAAGACAGGAAGGCCTGGCGTGATCTGGTCCATGGGGTCGCGAAGAGTCGGACTCGACTGTGTGACTGAACAACAACAACTGGGTTCAAGTCATCCTCAGACTGAAAAGGCTTTATTCTCCACAGCTTATGTCTTTCTTACCTTTAAGAGAGTGTTTTTCGTTGGGTCCAGTTTAGCATTGCAGTCAACCTGGTTGGAACGAAAGAAAGAAAGGGTGAGCTCCAGTTAACAGGAAAAGCTCTTCAGGCCTCCCTGTTGAACTGCAACTGAAGCATCCCTCAGAGCGCGAGACCCTCCAGGCCACCCCCCTGCACCTTCAAACAATGAATCGGTGCAGATTCTGGAAAGCCCCAGCAACTGCATTAACATTCTGAACAACGGAACTGGGATTTCTTTCTTGCAACAGACTTCAGACCTGCTGTCCTGTATTTCTCTCTGCTTCAACAGGAGGGTACTGACGGGCTTGCATCCTAACTTGTATGAGTGCAGCAGCACTCCCAGAAGGGAACTTCCCAACCTCCTCATGGCCGCTGCAGCAAGCCGTGCCCCTCCAAATTCTGCGGCAGCGGGTCAGTGGAATGCTGGGAACAGCATGGGGAGAAGCCGGAACTGGTACACGGAAAATTGCTGAAAGTTGCCACCCTCTTCTGCAGGTATCAGTAGCTTCTGAAAGGCTAAAAGGAGGTCAGGATCCATGCCACAGTCTGCATAGCCTTCAGGAGGAGGAGATTGGATTTATACCCCACCCTTCACTACCCGAAGGAGTCTCAGAGCAGCTTACAATCTCCTTTCCCTTACAATGTTCCCTCTAAGCTGTGGAGTCTTGTGAGCAAAAATTCTACTTTGTAAGCTACTGGCATTAAAGTTGTGAGTGATTTGGCTACTGCATAAGTTAGTTTGTTTTGGAGCCATCCTTCCGGAGCTAAGACAAAAATGCGCGAGCCAGAGGCTAAAAAACTGTGAGCTAGCTCACGCTAACTCAGCTTAGAGGGAACACAGCCTGTGAAGTAGGTGGGGCTGAGAGAGTTCTTCCGAGAACTGCGACTGACCTAAGGTCACACCAGCAGCTGCATGTGGAGGAGGGGGCGAACCAAACCTGGTTCTCACAGATTAGAGTCTAGGGGGCGAAGCAAACCTGGTTCTAACAGATTAGAGTCTTCACGCCTAACCACTGCACCAAACTGGCCAGGTTCATTAGAGTGCACCAACTCCTTTTAGGGCCATTTTGCATGTATATTTTCCCCCAACATGGAGATTTCTTCCCAGTGCAAGTCTCCAGGATGCAGCCAGCATGGTGTATTGGAGTGTTCAATTAGGACTAGAGAGTCTGGGGTTCAAAGCACTCGCAGTCAGGAAGCAAACTAGGTGAGCTTGAAAGTCACCATTTCTCAGTGTTGAGAGGATAAGGGGGGGAGAGGGGCAACATGAGAGACCCAAGCTTCTTGGGGGAAGAGTGGGATAAAGCATACAAAATGTCCAACACAAGTTCATTTGTCAAACACACACGAACCTCAGCACAGAGCATCCAATGACTGCAGCACAATTGTTCACATTCTAGATACATTTACTCCTTGGGTTTGTTACCATTGTTATTTTAACATCCACGCCTAAACCCAAACCAAAGCATGGAAGTGCTTCAGATGAAGATCCCATGAAAGTTTTAGTTCACACACTTCAGGGAGTGGCAACAATTTGGGATGGGTCTGCAAAAACACACTTTTAACACATACTAATTTTCCATGAGAGGGGTTCACTGGTTTGGCAATGTGGTCCAGAGAACACAGAGCAACAGGAATGTGTTCTCCTTTCCCCCGCCATGCACATTTTGGCGTCCCATCGCCGTCAAGGTCATTCTGCTCGTTGGTGCATCTGTAGATGTGATGGCAGCAGCAGTGACTCTTCTCAGGGCCTGACCACAGGCAGACAGCAACTAGTGGATACTTAAGATCTGCCCTAGACAAGCCACCGCTGTCCCACCACCTTCTCTACCTGTGAAAGTGGAGTGATCAGCCACCCCCAAGGGCTGCTAAGACCTAGGCAGCAAATTACTTTGTCCATTAAATGCTCCATAAGACTGCATAATCCAGAACATGTAAAACAAAGACGCTTCTGATTTCTGGATTCATTTTTATGACTCACATGAAGAAAGACGTTTACCAGACTCTGCCTACACTTACCACGGCATCAACGGCTGGAGAGCTGTCCCCAACCACCAACAGGGTAGGGCACCTAAAGGGAAATAAACAAATCCATAAAATAGCAGTCATCTCTGCAATTAATCCTTAAGGTTTTCATGCTTTTAAGGAAGTGGTCAGAACCACCACTGAAGGTCTTTTGGCTGCTTGCTGAGCAACCTAAAAACAGACATTGAGCGTTACCGAGAAACTGAACTGGCTGCTTGACGCGTTTTGAAACTATCTGGACTCTTGTAGGGGGAAATCTGAATGGCTTCTTCTGACCCAAGACATTCTACTGGGTAGAGGGGGCTGTTTCACTGGCTACTGAATTGAGGAGGCCAGTCTTGTAGCGTGTGTGACTAGCTTATATCCCAGCCAGTTTCAGCTTTGAGTACACCTTACAGTATTTATACATTTATATATTTACAACCTTATTTCACTTTATAATTCCCCACTGATCTCCCCCAGTGGGGACCCCAAAGTGGCTCGCAGCCTTCTCCTCTCCTACGTTTTATCCTCAACAACAGCCCAGTGAGGTAGTTTAGGCCCAGAGCACATGGCTGGCCCAAGCTCACCCAGCAAGCTTCCGTGGCAGAATGGGGACTTACTTTTATTTTATTTCTTTAGACTTATAGCCAGCCCTCCCCTGCGAACAGGCTCAGAGCAGGTTAACATCATGATAAGACACAATATACAATCTAAAACATTCACAGTTCTAATACAATAAACACAATAAAATGATAAAATACAATCAAAACACAACCTAATAGATGATGTAAAAACTCAGGGGAAGTATCTAAAAACTGTCTGATATGAAGGAAAAGAGGAGGGGAAGGGGAGAAGGAGAAGGGAGGAGGCTGATCAAGATGGAAAGCCATTGCTGCCCTCAACCATATGCTTAGTGGAACAACTCTGTCCTACAGGCCTTGTGGAACTGCTTTAGATCCCGCAGGGCCCAGATCTCACCTGGAAGTGTGTTCCACCAGGTTGGAGCCAGGGCCAAAAAGGCCCTGGCTTTGGCTGAGGACAGCCGGATGCTCTTGGGGCCAGAGATCACCAGAAGGTTTTTGTCATCTGAGCGTAGTCCTCTTTGGGGGGGTGGTATACCAGGAGAAGTGATCCCAGAGGTCTGCTGGTCCCAGACCATTTAGGGCAGGGGTATCAAACATGTGGCCTGGGAGCCAGATCAGGCCCCCGGAGGGCTTCTATCAGGCACACAGTGGAACTGGCTGTCTTCTGCTTCCAGTTCTGCTGCTGCGTCGTCATAGGTTTGCAGCTTACAGATACACACCTGAACAGCATACTCAAGATTGCAACAGCACAGTCATTTTGATGCAATCATTCAGAGCAAGAGGTGTCAGTTATCAGACACTCTTAAATAAACAAAATATTGCGAGAGTGCGAATGTTTTAAGCGTGTTTTCATTTTAAGTAAAAAAACCACCTTTGTGTTTGTGTCCTTTATAAAGTTTATATTTCCGCTACCTGGCATTACGTTTTATGACACACATGGCCCGGCCCCACAAGGTCTCATTTATGTCAGATCCGGCCCTCATAACAAATGAGTTACGACACCCCTGATTTAGGGCTTTAAAGGTTAGCACCAAGACCTCGAACCTGATCCAGTATTTAATTTGGAGCCAGTGCAGCTGGTGGAGCACTGGCTGAATATGAGCTCTGAAGAACATTCCTGTAAGGACATAAGCAGCTGCATTCTGGACCAGCTGCAATTTCCGGGTCAGTCTCAAAGGATAGCCCTATGCAGAGGAAGTTACAGTAGTCTAACCTGGAGGTGACCATTGCACGGATCACTGTGGCTAAGTCAGGGGGCAATGTTCACATTCTAGAAGAGTCCCCCGGATTCCAGTTTGACACTAACCGCTATGCTACACTGACCACCTTCTGGCATAAGAGACAGCAGGTGAAAGTGCAGCATCTCAAATTGGATATTTGCTACCACTAAAAGGCACCCAACACAGCTGTGAAAAACAGGAGCCGATGTGGAGCTTCAGCAGAAGAGCCCCACCGCTGGCCGCGACTAACAGCCAGTCTGGATTTCCTGTGGTTCAGATGATTTTGTAACAGAAGCAGCTGTGGGCAGGGCAAGAGGACATGTGCTTTGTATAGAATGGTGAGAGTTACTTCCGCCACCATTCCCTGAGTGAAGAGGCACATGAGAAAACAGCAAGCAGGCAAGACAGCTATGTGCCTCCTCAGTGGGGCTTCGCTGTCCCAAACAATATTTGGGAAAGAAAGAATGGAGGTTGGGTCCATATCCTGCTATTCTCCCTAAAGCAGTTTAGTGGTAAAGGCCACTGTGCCACAGTCATTCGGAATCTATATTGTTTTCTCACGTTTTTAGAAGTATTCTCATTTTCCTATCAATAGCAAAATGAGGATAAGGTTAAAACGAACACTCTGCACAACTTCGTTGCCCCACTAAACCGAGTCACTGCACATGACACTGCTTCTCGGTAATGGGGACAGCTCAAGAGACTAAGCCAGTTAACTCTGCTTTAAAAGAGGCTAAGACCCTTTTAAGCTTCAGTGGGTTGGGCCATCAAAAGGTAAGAGGCTCACAACCACCTACCTTGGCCTTCTTTGTTAAATGGGATTAAATGGCAAATTGGTGCGACTGTAAAAGTACCACTTCTTGGCGTTTACTGTTCACGTTAAAACTTTACAAGCTATGGATAGGGCAGGGTATGTGTGGCAGCAGTCACAGAAAGGCAGGCTTCAGAACTATAGAGTCATCCACAGATGCTCTAATTGAATCTGTTTGACAAAGTAGGACATTATGCCCCTTAAATTTGTTAAGGTCATCAGAGCTGTTAACCACAATTCCCTGGCGTTCTGGGGAAATTGACACTTTTATACCCTTTCAGGTTTACCACTTGAAGTTATTCTGCAGCCAATTATGTGTGGATGTTTTACACGGGAACTTTAAAACTTGCCTTGGGGATGTAGTGATGGTCACAGGCATTGGGGATTAGAGAGATTCCTGGAGGAGACGTCTATCAGTGGCTACTAGCCATGGTGACTAAAAAGAACCTCAACATTCAGAGGCAGTCAACTTCTGAAATCCCAGTGCCAGGGTGTACCATCAGAGGAAGGTCTTGGCCTCTATGCCCTACAGGTGGACCTCCAAAGGAACTGGTTGGCCACTGTGGGAGATTGGATGTTGGACTACATGGACCATTGGTCTGATCCAGCAGGGCTCTTCTTATGTTCTTAAATCTGCAAGTGGATCTCCAGATCCTATTTAAATATTCACCTCTGGAAAAATACATCCAGACAGCCAAACCATGCAACACTTTCATTTGTGGGTTTTAGCTGAAGGATCCCAACCTTTTTGGTGTTTGTTTTGGGGTTGCTGTGCTTTTCTGTGGTGCTTGTGTGTGTCTTGTAGGCTCTTTGCTTATTTTCTAATCCTATCGTTGATACTTGAGCAGGTCTCTGGAGAGGGGCCATATAAATCCTCTAAATAAATAAACGCAAGATCCTTCTCTAAGCGCTAAGCACCTGCCTTGGCAGGGAGGGCAGGATACAAATTGAATAAAACAAATAAATAAATAAGCACCTGAACTGATTGAACTTCAAGACTTAATTATTCCTATTCGCTACCATACTTCCTCCTACTTGTTAATTAGCTCCTAGAGATCTATCTGAACACTGGAAGCAGAAAGTGCTGTCAAGTCAGAGCCGACTTACGGTGACCCTGGGGGGGTTTCCAGGCAAGAGATGTTCAGAGGTGGCCTGCCATAGCCTGCCTCTGCATAGTGACCCTGGACTTCCTTGGTGGTCTCCCATCCAAGTACTAACCAGGGACAACCCTGATTAGCTTCCAAGATCTGGCTAGCCTGGGCCATCCAGGTCAGGGATCCGAACACTGCCAACCCCAAATTTGAAATGAATGGGCTATCATGGACATTTACTTATATGGGATGGAAACAGGGAACATTAACTATTTCTATTTCATAATGGACATGAAAGTGTCATGGACATGAAAGCTTATGCTGGAACAAACTTTGTCTTAAAGTGCCACTTGATTTCTGTTTTGCCATGAAACACGCTTGCATAATCCAACATGTTAGTGGAGGCCAAACAGGTTTGCAGGAGCAAAACATTCAGAGGAACATCGTGCACAACCAACACTTACTGTAGAGTAACAACATTTACACCAGGCACAGGGCGCTCAATTTCCAGGTCTCTTCGGCTGAAAAATGAAGAAACAGATATTGAACTTGAGGGTTCTACATAGCGGTGTATTTTCCCCCCCTGAAGTAGGAACAGGTAGTCTTCCAAGCAGCAGATGCAACATGTAACATGAGGGTTACATGTAATTGCTAAGGAACATTTACAGATTTCAGATGACTGTCTGGTTTATGTGCCTAGGCCCTCAAAACTGTTACAAAAGCTTGACAATCCAGCCCAAGCGCTCAATGGCACAGCACACAAAAGTACTCCACATAATTTCACAGTCCCAGCTCACTCACTCTGTGCTTCATCCTCTGACAACCCAATTCTCCTTACAGGGATTAAAACAAGGTTTTGAGTATGTCAGGCAGTAATCAGGAATCCTGAAACCCATATGCAGGTTTAAGCATTCCGCTTCCTGACTTTTAATAGTACCTGTACTGAAACCAACATAAGAAATTTTAAAATAAGCCACTGGTAATGGGTGGTATCAGCTAACAAGACCTCCAAGGCCGTCTAGAGGCTTTGTAGATGGTTCCTCCTATATCGCCTTTAGAACCCAAGCAAACTAGATGATTGAGTAGTAAGATTACCTGCTGTAGGAGTTGACAAAGAGGTGCAGATTGTTTTGATTCATGTCATTGATGATGTGCCGGCGGTAAGTGTTGATCAAATCCTGGTTGTTATGAATCTCGTCCTAGATTTAAGAGACGATGTCATCAAGTATCACCTTCGGTGGGGCTCAGTGCAAACTTTCAGTTAATATGGACTACTTCCAGAGAAGGGGGCGAAAACATGGCCACTGCCACAAGTGGGTCACAAATGGTACCCCCCCCCACTCTACTTTTCTGTGTCACCTGCTGCTGTTCCACCCACCAGCTCCTGGCTCCTCCCCTTTTTCTCCCATCACACCTGCCCCCAAAGAACAAGAACCCTCTCCCCTTTCGTTACAGAGTTATTCTGTAGCACTACAGTGCAGCTTGACTGATCAAGTGAGGGGGGGGGAAGCAGTGACCTGCCCTATTTTGAAACTGGAGTTTATCTCAGCCTTCTCTCTGCAGTGATTGACAGAGAAGTACCCACATGGACCTCCAACCCAGCCACTCCAAAGGTTCCCTTTAAATTAAAGCAGGATTATTTTTCTCTGTCTTACAAGGGAAAGCACAGGAACGCCACAAGTCATGTTCAGAACTAGCATAATGCCATGCGGATTTTCCCCTTTAATCTGGGGGCTCCCTGCTTTCCATGCAGTGAAAGAACCTCATGTGGAAGCAGCCATGTAAGATCTGTCTGAATACCACAAAGTACTGCTTTCATACTATACCAGTACTCTCAAATACCATCGATCACCAGGAGTACTATATATATAAATATAAAACACAGCTACAAAATGGATCTCTTATTTTGCTCACTGGAGTGTGGATACTCATATGCAAAGTAATATACTCATAGGCAACACAATATTCAAATCTCAGTGTCATGAACAAGAATCCAAAAGCATACTGGGGGGGGGGACATGTTTACCTTGCCAAAAAGATGTGAAATGATCAAATCTGGCATGGCATGAGTCCATCCAGAAATCTATAAAGTCAAAAATAAAAACTACATTGTTTAACTTGCCTCACAGTCTTCTCACAGGTTGCACATGCTATACTAGATCCCATCAAATGCTAAAAAGTTCTTTATATTCACTGAATAGGCAAAAAATTCATTCATTGCATTATTATTATTGACTTTATACCCCACCATTAGCTGTGTTCATAATCATTTCTATATTCTCATGAAGTCAAAGGATCATTGTAATAACTCTGTGTTCAAAAGATATTGCTGAGAATGTACCATCTATCAAATTTAACATCCACTGGTCTGAATTGGCCCAAACAGCTATGCGGGTACACTCACACAGAAAGCTACGGAGACCACCTAGAGACACACTGTGCCCACTGAAGTCACTTAAAGATTCTACACAAGATACGGGTAGAAAGGCCTTAACATGACCAGAAAGACATGTCTCCTCTCCCACTCTTTTCCAATGCCCAGCCTGGAGAAGAGTTCTGAAGAACTCAAAGCTTGCTTTATGTGTTGTGTTTTATGAAGACCAATCAATGTAACACCTGATACCAATTTTTCTGTGCTTCAACACAGCTGTTATTTTTTATTCTACACGAAGTCTTAGCTAGGGCCGCGGTGGCTCAAGTTGTTAAGACGCTGAACTGCAGACTGGAAGGTCGGTAGTTCGGCAGTTTGAGACCCGAGTGCTGCGTGATAGAGTGAGCTCCCGTCTCTGGGCCCAGCTCCTACCAACCTAGCAGTTCAAAAGCAAGAAATTGCATGTAAATAAATAGGTACCACTTCGGTGGGAAGGTAACAGTGTTCCGTGTGCCTCGGCGTTTAGTCATGCCGGCCACATGACCACAGAAACGTCTTTGGACAGCGCTGGCTCTTCGGCTTGGAAACAGAGATGACCATCTAGCATCCCTAGAGTTGGGTTCGACTGGCTTTCGAGCAAGGAAAACCATTACCTAAGTCTTAGCTAGGTTAATAATTTAATTGGCCTAACATTCAACACCATCCTTCTCAGTTTTTGCACTCAAGCTTCAGTCACATCTCAGGCATAGACTGTATTTACAAGTTATTTGAAATAGGAACTATGTTTTTCAGCTATCAGACTACAGTAGGTGTGGTTTTTTCTGCATATCACCACTAGTTTGGGGTGGGGGGAGAGCAAGAGTTCTGGTTAAGTTTGGACATTAAAGGACACAGGCCAACTTGATGCAAGTAAGAGAGTGGAGCAGAAAAGAGTCATCTGCTCCCAATTTGAGGCTTAGTCAGGCAAATGCCAGAATCTTTTGCAGGAGTGACTGCAAGAAGGCTAAACCCAGAGAAACAAAAGAAAAAATATATTCCCAGACCCAGGACATTTGGCAAGCAGATCAGTATGCAAAATGGTTAAGTTGTGTCAAGGAGCCGATACTGCAAGGAAAGAACAAAATGCCACATGGAGACAATTTCTACCCATGCCTACATAACACCCATTCCAAGCTACCTCCAGATTCTTTCATGTTGTGAGAGCATTAGAAGTCATCGGCACCACATGTCTGCTTTTGGATGAAGCAAAGAAGAAGAAGTCTCCCATCCAAGTAGTGAACAAAGTTGACCCTGCTTAGCTTCCAAGATCTGATTAAATCAGGCATTCCAGGTAGAAGAAGAAGAGGAGGAGGAGGAGGAGAAGAGGAGGAGATTGGATTTATAACCTGCCCTTCACTACCTGAAGGAGTCTCAGAGCGGCTTACAATCTCCTTTCCCTTCCCCTCCCCACGACAGACACCCTGTGAGGCAGGTGGGGCTGAGAGAGCTCTTTCGAGAAATGCTTTTGAGACAACAGGTCTGAGAGAACTGTGACTGACCCAAGGTCACACCAGCAACTGTATGTAGAGGAGTGGGGAATCAAACACGATTCTCCCAGATTAGAGTCCGCGCTCCTAACCACTACACTGGCTTCTGCACTGCAATGGCTGGCTTCAACAGAAGTGTACGAAAACGAATCAACACTGCTCCTGCCTTTGCACGGATCACATTTGCTATGCCAGCCATACAAATGTAGGAATCAATTATATGCCACCTTTTGTCCCCAATGGACAAAACCACACCATTTCCCTCTCCTCCATTTTATTTTTCAACAGATCTGTGAGATGGGTTAGGCTGAGTTTGTGTGACTGGCCCACAGTCACCCAGCAAGCTTCCATGGCATAGTGGGGATTCGAACTTGGTTAAAACCAGGTAACTGGGCAAACCCCCCACTGGGGATGCTTTAAGAAAGAAGCTGGTTAAAACTTAAGGACTGAGAAAATAAGATTAAATGATGAATAATATGAATGATAGATGTAGCAGCTGTGAAACTGTAATGAGAAGATATGCATGCAGAATGCCAAACTGGAATTTGTTAAATATACCTCTGAATCTTTCCTTTCTTTCTTCCCTTCCCCCCTTTCTGTGCATAAACCAATAAAATTCTTTTAAGAAAAAAAGGAGCTTAAAGCATAACTCTTGTCCTACACTGACTGGTTTAAAAGTTTGCAATGTTGAAGAAGTGTGATGAAACAGAACCGTGGAATTGTTCCTAGGTTCTGAAAGCACTGAGATTAAGGTTCATAATGTGTGGAAATGGATTCACTGCAAGTCATATAGCCAGAAGGGCTACAGTTCAGTAACTCAGGTGGCCACAGATGTCAGTTGTATTTCAGCAGTGCTTGCCAAACAAACTTGTCCATGTTACATACAATACAGAGTTTGAATAGCTAAGGTGAAAGTATTTGCATGTTTAGAAGAAAGGCTTCAAAGGTATGCAGGGTTTTTTTTTACCTTGGTTGCTGCCCAGTCCATCCATCCTTCAGCACAGGGGTTGACATTAATAAGAACGAGTCCTTCTGTCATATCAGGATAGTTAAGCTGCAAATTGAAGAATCAGGTGAACAGATAGGCAGATACATCGGAGAAGTAAAATACAACAAAGAATTCTGCCTTGAATTTTTTAAAAAATAGGAGTACACCAGTGCCTTTAATTTAAAGGCAAATGAGCAGTGAAATTTGGCTTTGACAACGTAAGAAAAGAGAAGCCCATGTTGGATCAGACCGATGGCCCATCCAGTCCAACACTCTGTCACACAGTGGCCAAAAATATCAAGTGCCATCAGGAGGTCCACCAGTGGGGCCAGGACCCTACCTTT